GCTGGCTGGGACTGATGAGAGTTAGAGTCCCAGCAGCATCCGGAAGGGACCACACTGGTTACCCCATCCTGGATTAAGTCACAGCCCCTTATAAAATATTGGCTTCTTTGCAAGCCCACAAAGAGAAACTTCACTAATCCTGGGTGGCTCAATATCTCAGGTCTAAGTTCTTGCAAGGAACCTTGGCTTATTTTCCAGAACTCAGAAGAAAATCTCCAAACTGGAAAGTTTACAAATGGAGTAACAACTTTAAGACTCAGATCTACTTTACTTTGAGCGTCTGTTTGGGAATCTTATTGGAATAAATGCAATTCAGGAACTCCAATTATTTTAAAATCTCCCTTTTAAACAGTGGCAGGTAGGACGTGAAAATTTTTGTTGTTTGTTGTTGTTTAGTTGTTTAGTCGTGTCCGTCTTTTCGTGACCCCCTGGACCAGAGCACGCCAGGCCCTCCTGTCTTCTACTGCCTCCGCAGTTTGGTCAAACTCAGGTTATTAGCTTCAAGAACACTGTCCCGCCATCTCGTCCTCTGTCGTCCCCTTCTCCTTGTGCCCTCCATCTTTCCCAACATCAGGGTCTTTTCCAGGGAGTCTTCTCTTCTCATGAGGTGGCCAAAGTCTTGGAGCCTCAGCTTCAGGATCTGTCCTTCCAGTGAGCACTCAGGGCTGATTTCCTTCAGAATGGAGAGGTTTGATCTTCTTGCAGTCCATGGGACTCTCAAGAGTCTCCTCCAGCACCAGAATTCAAAAGCATCCATTCTTCGGCGATCAGCCTTTTTTATGGTCCATCTCTCACTTCCGACGTGAAAAATAGCTAACAGGAAAACAGAGATCTAGTTCATGTGTTAGCTTTTCCCTTTTAAGTTCAAGAACAAGGAAAGGGACCATAGCATTTATTCAAACATTTCTCTACCTGTGTCCCATCCGTTCCGTAGCACTGTGTGGAATGCACCACACTCTTAAAAATCCATCCATAAAAACCCAGGTATATTGTACTCGGGAGTGAGGAGTGCTATAAATCCAGTTCAATAACCATGTTGGTAGTTATCTGTTAACACCTCTCTAGCATTTCCCAGACGTCTAAAACTGTGCTGCCAGTTCCTAAGTTCAGACATCGCAGAGAGATGGTCTTGATAATAGCCTCTCCTTTATGGCTGCCTCTTGCCCTGGAAGTTCTCCAGAGCTCGGGTCTATGCATGTTTTAAAAGCAGTATTTAGATCTTTTTTTATCTGGACAGAAATTTGTTGGCCAAGGCTCAGGCCGAGTGTGAACAACGTTAACTCCTCCATATATTGAACCAAAGATATATTTAAAAAATGGATGCAGTTTTAACCCTCCACCCCAAACATTATTTTGTGAAGGCCCATCCATGTCCTGGCCCTTACCGGACAAACACCTGAGTATATTTTCTTCCAAAACCTTTAACGTTCAGATCAGTGCAATGCATAGGCAAAGTAAGTAAGAAGGCACAGCAGGTTCTAATGGCTAAGCAAGTGAAGGCGCTGATCTTACAAGCTAACACACCCCTTCGGGTCCCGTTATATGGGGATGGGGTAGGCAAAAGGGCAAGCGGATGGCAGCTCCTTCGGTAGCCCTCTCTGGTCCTATTTGTGGGTTCCCCCCTGGGGCATTTGCTTGGCTGCTGCGAGGACAAAAAACGTGTCCAGAGGAGGGCAACCAAAATGGTCAAAGGCCTGGAAACGATGCCTTATGAGGAACGGCTAAGGGAGCTGGGCATGTTTAGCCTGGAGAAGAGGAGGTTAAGGGCTGATATGATAGCCATGTTCAAATATATAAAAGGATGTCACATAGAGGAGGGAGAAAGGTTGTTTTCTGCTGCTCCAGAGAAGCGGACACGGAGCAATGGATCCAAACTACAAGAAAGAAGATTCCACCTAAACATTAGGAAGAACTTCCTGACAGTAAGAGCTGTTTGACAGTGGAATTTGCTGCCAAGGAGTGTGGTGGAGTCTCCTTCTTTGGAGGTCTTTAAGCAGAGGCTTGACAACCATATGTCAGGAGTGCTCTGATGGTGTTTCCTGCTTGGCAGGGGGTTGGACTTGATGGCCCTTGTGGTCTCTTCCAACTCTAGGATTCTATGATTCTATGATGAGCTTGAGGGGCCTGATCCACCAGGCTCTTCTTGCATTAGAAGAACTGAGGTCCATTGCTCAGGGTCTGCCTGTTTGGAGTTTCGTGCTAATAAGTTACAGTGTCCTGCTGGCAGACTTAAGGGGGTCTCTTTCATGGAAAACGCTTCTTCAGAACAGTCCTACACTCCTGCACAGAAGCAGCAACATGAGAGAGGCCAATGAGTATTATGGGAAGTGCAGCTTTCTTCTCAACCTGGACACGAGTCTTGTTGTTCATGTCGAGGAGAATAACAACAACAATAATAATAATAATAATAATACTTTCCCCCCAAAATTATTAATTTTCTCTTATAGAACATAGACATTAACACAAAAGAAAAACATTACACTTCACACAACAACAAAAAACATAACAAAAAAAGAGAATTGTTTCTTCTTGTATCCTGGTTATATTACATTGCTAAATGACTTCCTCAACACCCCTCAATCTGAATTTCATTGTATCACACATTTAACAGTTTCCAACTTCTAATTTATAACACAAATACCTTCTTTCAATTACAAACTTCTTATCTTTGCTTTATGTTCCAATCCATAATGTTCACTATAACAGATCTTTTTTTTTATCCTTAGGCCTAGTTTATTACTTCCTAGAATTTCCTAATTATCTTATATTGATAATAATAATATTTTTTTATTTATACTCTGCCCTCCGCGGCCAGAGCCGGGCTCAGGGCGGCTAACACCAGTAAAATTACAATAAAAACATAATTTAAAATACAGGTTAAAATACTCTACTCAAGGTTCCCAACTCAAGGTTCCTCCTCCATCTTTCTTCTTAAGGCTCTGGGGAGACCGATTCCCCGGAAAGCGTGTTTCATCAACTCTGCAAACTCTCTCTTTGCTCACGCCCCCCCCCCGGCGTGCAGCTCCTGAATCTCCCACTCTGCTATTATCGGCACACTTTAAAAATGTGCCCCCCCCCATCCGCAGCACCCAGTGAGTTAATCCACGGTTTAAGCTAAATCTCCACCCCCCTCACCTGCTGAGATGAGGTGCCCTAAGCAGTTCTCTCTGCTCCCCCCCCCCCCGCCAGCTCAGCCCTGATTTCCCACTCTCAATTTCCTCTCTCACGCTTTTTATCTGCCAAGGTGATGGTGGGGGGCTGCAGTGATGGGGGGGGCAGCGGTGGAGAGGAGCACAGGGCCGCTGAAGAGAAGCTCAGGAACAGCTCCCTCTTTGTCAGGGGGCTGCTTTCTCTCCCCCCCTTTCTGCCCCCCCCTCCTGCCTCCCCTCTCCCTGCCCTGCCCAGTCCTTCTGCAGGCTGGATTGTTGCATCCTTGCTAATCCTCTTCTTTATGATCATCTTCCGCTTTGGCCGCTCCTGTCCCTATTAAACGTTTCATTTGCTTCTGTGTTTTTTTTTTAAATAAAAAAGTTTATTTCCATCTGGGTTGCTTTTCAGGGTGGGTTGGGGGGCAGTGGCGGAATTAGATGGAGATCGATCCCCCCCCCGCCCCATACTTAATTTGGACGCCAATCGATCCCAAATATTTCCCTTCACCTTGGCCTGCGTGGCTGTGAAATCGGGGTGCCTTTTCCAGGAGCTCTGCAGAAGCATTTCAAATCTGATTACACCCTAATCAGCAGGCCCCAGGTGTGCGCCAGCTTCCATCTCTTGTTTATTGTACCTGGCTCCTTTCCTCTTAGCAAGCAGGCGGGTGGGGGCTCGAGAGAGGAAGGGAGGACCGTCTCAAATTACGGCCTGGTGACTCAGCAGCCTGGAAAAAAACGCATCTCTAAGGAGCCCATTTCCCTCGTCTGTTAGTACCCTCTGTCACCATCTTACAGGTATTGCCTATTTTCAGCATAAAGGTAAAGGGACCCCTGACCATTAGGTCCAGTTGTACCGACTCTGGGGTTGCGGCGCTCATCTCGCTTTATTGGCCGAGGGAGCCGGCGTATAGCTTCCGGGTCATGTGGCCAGCATGACTAAGCCGCTTCTGGCGAACCAGAGCAGCACACGGAAATGCCGTTTACCTTCCCGCTGGAGCGGTACCTATTTATCTACTTGCACTGGTGTGCTTTTGAACTGCTAGGTTGGCAGGAGCAGGGACCGAGCAACGGGAGCTCACCCCGTCGCAAGGATTCGAACTGCCGACCTTCTGATCAGCAGGTCCTAGGCTCTGTGTTTTAACCCACAGTGCCACCTGCGTCCCTTATTTTCAGCATACGTCTGTGCAATTTTTCCAGGCCCGGGAGTGACACCCGAGGCGTCCATGGAATCATGGAGTTGAAAAGGACCCAAACGGTCATCTGATCCAACCCATTTCAATACAGAAATCACATCTGAAGCATCCCTGACAGATTTATGGGCATCTAACCCTCTGCTTGAGGGATGCGCGACGGGGTGAGCTCCCGTTGCTCGGTCCCTGCTCCTGCCAACCTAGCAGTTCAAAAGCACGTCAAAGTGCAAGTAGATAAATAGGTACCACTCTGGCGGGAAGGTAAACGGTGTTTTCGTGTGCTGCTCTGGTTCGCCAGAAGCGGCTTAGTCATGCTGGCCACATGACCCGGAAGCTGTACGCCGGCTCCCTCGGCCAGTAAAGCGAGATGAGCGCCACAACCCCAGAGTCGGTCACGACTGGACCTAATGGTCAGGGGTCCCTTTACCTTTACCTTTAACATCTGCTTAGAAACCTCCAAGGAAGGAGAGTCCATTCTCCTCTGAAGGAGTCTGTAGAAGGAGTCAAACAACTCTTGCTGTCAAAAATTTCTTCTGTTCGTGAAGCTGAGGTGTTACGCTGAGTCGAACCCCTGGCTCCATTTAGCCTAGTGCTGCCTGCTCTGAGTGGAAGCAGCTGTCAACAGGGGTGGAATGGGACGTTTCCCAGCCTTGTTGCTTTGGGAGAAAGGGTGTAGCTCGGTGGTAGAGTATTTGCTCTGCGTGCAACAGTTCCCAAGTTCAATCCCCGGCATCTCCAGGTAGGTCTGGGGGGAAAACCTCAGTGTTACGCAGTACTGGGCTAGATGGGCTAAATGGACCAATGATCTGATTTGGTATAAGGCAGCTTTCCGTTTTCCTAGGTGCTTGGTTGAAGGAGCTGGGTACGGTATATTTAGCCTGGGGAAAAAGGAGACCGGGAGGAGATATGATGTTGTTTATTGTTGTTTAGTCATTTAGTCATCCCCGACTCTTCGTGACCCCCTGGACCAGAGCACACCAGGCCCTCCTGTCTTCCACTACCTCCCGCAGTTTGGTCAAACTCATGCTGGTAGCTTCGAGAACACTGTCCAACCATCTCGTCCTCCGTCGACCCCTTCTCCTTCTGCCCTCCATCTTTCCCAACATCAAGGTCTTTTCCAGGGAGTCTTCTCTTCTCATGAGGTGGCCAAAGTATTGGAGCCTCAGCTTCAGGATCTGTCCTTCCAGTGAGCACTCAGGGCTGATTTCCTTCAGAATGGAGAGGTTTGATCTTCTTGCAGTCCATGGGACTCTCAAGAGTCTCCTCCAGCACCAGAATTCAAAAGCATCAGTTCTTCGGCGATCAGCCTTCTTGATGGTCCAGCTCTCACTTCCATACATCACTACTGGGAAAACCATAGCTTGAACTATACGGACCTTTGTTGGCAAGGTGATGTCTCTGCTTTTTAAGATATGACAGCCATCTTCAAATATCTCAAGGCCTGTCACATGGATGAGGAAGCATGCTTGTTTTTTCCTGCTCTGGAGGGTAGGACTCGAACCAGTGACTTCAAGTTACATTAAAGGAGATTCCAACTAAACTTTTGGAAAAACTTTCTGGCAGTAAGAGCTGTTCAGCAGTGGAACGGTCTCCCATGAGAGGTTGTGGACTCTCCTTTGGAGGTTTTTAAGCAGAGTGGCCAACTATCATGGATGCTTTGGCTGATTTTCTTGCATTGCTTGGGGTTGGACTAGATGACCCATGGGGTCCCTTCCAACTCTATGATTCTATCAATTTAGCTGGAGGTGTTAGGGGTCTAACCTGGGACATTTCTACAGTGTTCTTAAGTGATGAGCTCCAGCTAGCTTTCTGGAGCCTTTCCGCGTCTGATGGCCTGGAATTATAAGGCTTCCAAACTAGAACCATGTGTGTTTGTGTTTGAGTGTGCACATTTGTGGTGCTGAGTGCCCCGGCAGTATTTATGTGCTTAGTTCATTGCATCGCCACGTGCTTGCTTGATCTGCAGGACCACATTCCCTTTAGAAGTTCCTTTTGTCATGGCGCTTTCTATCTACTGAGTGTTTGGGACTAGCAAAGAGATGGGAGATGCACTTGACAGCTTAATTGCTTGGCATTTAACTGGGGCTGGTTATAATTCCGCCTGGCAATGGCGCGCTCCATCTGGATTTATTGGGTCAATATTTTGTCTCCCTCTGTCACGGCTCCAATTTAGAGCCAGGGTGAAACACTCAAGCGCTCCTCTCTTTCACCAGGTGGGCAGGCTGCTTTGAAGTGCTTTTAAGCCCCTGACCCAGGGGCTCCGACTCTGGGCGCATTGAGCAGCGCCCCGGCGGACCTGGGACACACCATCTCATGCGTTTGCTTCTCCCAGTCGTGCCCCATCCCTAGCAGCCCTGAGGGAAGGGGAGCGCCAGCAGAGTAATGATGCCAAGGTGAGGAGATGGATGGAGCCCGTGGCTTCATGCCACCAGCCAGAGGGCACCCCACCTCATCCACCTTAGGAGGTCCAATGTATTTACTGTATTTTTTTCAAAAATTTTTATTCATTTTATAACACAAATAAAAAACACAAACAGAAAAGACAAACAATACAAACAAATTCTTCTCATATCCTTATTTTTCTAAATATTGTTAAGTGGGCTTCCCCAAGTCCCACCTATCTGATTTTCATTTTACTTCATCTCTAGCAGTTTACATATATCATAATTTCTAACCATCTTTTTTTTTAATCACACTGAAAATGACTTCACATTTTATCACTTACAAATAATACTATTTTAAAATACCCTGTCTTCTACTTCTAACCCTACAGCCTATATCCTCTTCCAAAGCTATTCTGAGATTTAAACATTAACATATTTTTTTCAAATATTCCTGTCAGGGAACTGCCATCAGTGCCGGAGGGAGAGAGCAAAAGCCAGAGGGATTCCAGAGAGCGTCCAGGGATTGGGAGAAGCAGCCCATCTTCTGGGGAAGAGAATCAGCGTAGCACCAGTGGAGAAGGGGGGCAGATGGGGGAAGCGGCGAGGCAGTCCCATGACTCCTTGCCTGGGACCAGCGGGGAGAGTAGGGGTCCTCCGTTGCCCACGCCCTCCTTGCGCAGAAGGCTTACGTGCAGAGAGAGTAGGAGGAGACTAGGCGTCAAAGAGCTTCTTTGCTGGAAGAAGTTTAAGAAACGCCCACTGACGGATCCTGCCAGCGATTGAGTCAGCCACGGGTGAATGGCTGTCCGGACAGAAAAGGTTCACTTAGGCAACCCAGCCAGGTGTTTGCACCCAGCCGGGGAGATAAGCACCGGCTTACGCACGAGCAACCCCTAGAACCATTAAAATTTCCTAAACTTCTTCCAGTCTTCTTCCACCGTCCCTTCTCTCTGGTCTCGGAGTCTCCCGGTCAGTTCGGCAAGTTCCGTATAGTCCATCATCTTCATCTGCCATTCTTCAATAGTTGGTAAATCTTGTTTCCACCTTAGGAGGTCCAATGTAGGCTGCAGAAGGAGCATAACTCAAAACAACACCAGATGCGGGTGCTAAATCTCTGCATCTGGAACACAGCGGTTCAGATCTTTCCCCAGTTGAGACAGAAGCCGGATATTGAACGTCAAGCGCTTTTGAATGTTAAATGAGCTGAACCAGGCAGGTGCCTGGCCCCTCTGCGTGCACACAAGGCTGTATTCCTTCAATTCCATCAACTTCACCCGCCTTTGATTCCTCCCTGGAAATGACAAATGTGGCTGTTAATTATTTAACTGGCTTTGCTTTGTCCTCCTCCTGCTGGGTGTGTGTGTGTGTGTGGTTCCCTTACGGGCAGCTGAGGCCGACCTGATTCACTTTCATCACCCAGACCCAACACCTGCTTTGTCGCCACTGGCACAAGTTAAGGATTTTTTTGGTCCCAGGGCTGCCTCTAACGCCAAGCCCTTTGCAATATCAGTGGCCAATCACGAGGCTGCCAGAAGTGATCAAGCAAGTCATCCATCTCTGTAAGCGAGAGGGAAACCAGTAGTTTTCCTCTTGCTTGTCCACAAGCCACAAGCTCGTTATCACAAGCTTGGAGAGCCCTGGGTATTTGCCTTTTGGCCGGTGGACCTGAGCGGAGTGGGTTTTATTCACTACGTGCCTGGAGCTCAGATGCGTCTGGCCGCCAGGCAGATTGGCCTCCGCGCCTCGCCTCGCCACCTTGCTCCACTTCCAAAATTTGATTAGATTGTTATGTGCAAAAGAGGCTTGGGGAAATGCCCAGAATTAGATGAGACGGATCAGATCAGTGCTTAATCTCTAAGGCCTTGTTCTCGCAAACAGGAGGTGACGCGGTCAGCCTGGTGCAGGCGAGGGCTCCCATGATGGGATTCTGTGCCATACAGTAAAGAATCCTCGCATGTAGGAAACGGGGAGGTCAGGGAGAAAGGGGCCACCTCCTGGTGGGAGCTTTTGTTCCGTGGAGGAACGTCCTGTCCTATGAGCCCCCTCTCCCCTAGCGACCTGAAGCACTCCAGTTTGACCTGCTCATCTCCTACTTGCGAGAGCAAGGCCTGAAATGAGACGTTTCACCTGGGAATGAGAAGGGCACCTCAAAGCCCCTTCTCCCAGCTGTGTGGCTCAGCGGGAAGCGGAAAGAACTCTGCACGTGCTTGTGGAATGCCCTCCCTAGTGAGGCGTGTCTGTCTCCTATCAGGAGTAATTTGAAAGCATCCCTGTCTACCCACTTGGGACGCGGGCGGCGCTGTGGGTTAAACCACAGAGCCTAGGACTTGCCGATCAGAAGGTCGGCGGTTCAAATCCCCGCGACGGGGTGAGCTCCCGTTGCTCGGTCCCTGCTCCTGACAACCAAGCAGTTCGAAAGCACGTCAAAGTGCAAGTAGATCAATAGGTACCGCTCCTGCGGGAAGGTAAACGGTGTTTCCATGCACTGCTCTGGTTCGCCAGAAGCAGCTTAGTCCTGCTGGCCACATGACCCGGAAGCTGTACGCCGGCTCCCTTGGCCAGTAAAGCGAGATGAGCGCCACAACCCCAGAGTCAGCCACGACTCGACCTAATGGTCAGGGGTCCCTTTACCTTTACCTGTCTACCCAGGCAAGAAGAAAAAAAGCTGCTCCTGGCAACCCAGAGATTGCTGGAAGAAATCATGTTTTCAATTGCAGCTGTTTTTATAATGCTTTGACTGTTCTGGGATGCTTTTATAAACGTGGATGTTTTTTTCTGGCCAGGCTTCCTTTGGAAAGAAGGGCAAGATGCTACTACTACTAATATAATGCAGTCAAAGGGACTTTCTTCTTTAAAATTACTTTGTATGTATAAGGGTTGAGTTTTTGCATGAATAACCAATTCTGTACCAGGCAAGCTGACCTCTGGGTCCCATTTCTTTAAGATGTAAAGCTTATTTATATGACCTATTTATAAATTGCACACATAGCCAAGGGCAGGTGGAACATAATGTGCTGCAACATTCAAATTCCAAAAAACAAGGGGTGCTCAAAAGTTAATAGAATCATAGAATCATAGAGTTGGAAGAGACCACAAGGGCCATCGAGTCCAACCCCCTGCCAAGCAGGAAACACCATCAGAGCACTCCTGACATATGGTTGTCAAGCCTCTGCTTAAAGACCTCCAAAGAAGGAGACTCCACCACACTCCCTGGCAGCAAATTCCACTGTCGAACAGCTCTTACTGTCAGGAAGTTCTTACTAACGTTTAGGTGGAATCTTCTTTCTTGTAGTTTGGATCCATTGCTCCGTGTCCGCTTCTCTGGAGCAGCAGAAAACAACCTTTCTCCCTCCT